CCCTTAATGCCTGCCCTTCAATAGAAAGAGCTGAGGGAGTTTCCTTCTCAAGAGATCAGTAGCTGTTCCCATTTTGGAGGCCTAAGGAAGTCGCAGTTTCAGGCCTCAACCCACCCAACATCCCATCAGAGGGACCTAAATGCACACTTCGAGAAAGACTTATTGAAAAGAGAGGTTATTAAAAAAAAGATAATGACTTATAAAATAATATCCAACATCTACCAACATCACAGATAAGAAAACTGTGGGGTAGAGAGATGGAGTGATTTATCCAGAGACCACAGGAAATGAACAGCTGAGCCCTGTTTAAAGCCAATGCGACTCTTTAAGGCTGGAGGCAAAGCAGTACATTTGTATGTTTCTTGTGTGGCTTCTCACTGGTCCTCACCCTGGGGGCTGAGCATTAGTGTGTGCATTTGCTGAAAGGGAAAGCTGAGGGCATGGCAGCAAGCAGGGTGGGGGCATGGGGCTTGGGTTTGTTTGTGTTTGCAGGGAGGTGGTGGATGTGCCACTGAGCTACACACCTTGCCCTTTCTGTTTCTTATTTTGAGACAGGGTCTGGCTAAATTGCTCATACTGGCCTTGAACTCTCCATCCTCCTGCCTCAGCCTCCCAGTAGCTGGGATTACAGACCTGGGGGTCTGGGATTACAGATCTGCAGAAGGCGCAGAACCTTCCTGGTGACCCCCTTTGGTAACCCAGACTGGCCATTCCCTGTGCAGGCCCATGACCTGCAGTGAGTGCAGCTGCTGTGGCCCTTACTCAGGCCTCCCCTGGCCCTCCCCCAGGCCTCCCCTGGCCCACCCCCAGTGCAACCTGAGGAGGGGAGATTCTTGCAGAGGGGCAGCCCTGGCTTCAGGCTCCACCTGCAGTGACCTCAGGCCAGCCTCTCCGGTCTTCCCCCTCAACCTCTATCCACTGTGAAATGGGGAGCTGGTGTCAGGAACCTGTGAAGGGGCATGGCTAGCGCTGAGCGTCCAGAATCTCACAAGCATGGGGACTGTCCCCCCAAAACCACAGCTGTGACCTAAGTATTTCCCTGCTGTGTCCCTCTGAAGGGATTTCAGGGAATATGCCCATCCCACTCAGGGTTGGTCTTCCCCATTCCTTCTTCACCCCGCACAGGTAAGAAAAATGAGCTCAGAGAGGAGTAGCCTTTTGCCTGAGGTCACACAGCGAATGTCTGGGGGGGTGGAGAGCAGTGTTGTGGAATTCCTGGCGGACGTTGGCGCCCGCTTGTCTGCCCGCTTCTGATACCCGGGTTCGGGAGAATAGGCCGCTAACAAGCGGCCCATTAGAAGGAATTGTCACTCCTCTGGGAGCGAGGTTGTCCCATTAGGGCGAATTGTCATTCCTCCTGGAGTGAGGTTGTCCCGGCTCCGAGCAGGCTGAGTGCCGGGGCCGAGAGCAATTAACGCGGCTCCGGCGCGGGCAGCCGCCTCTGCCCGGGGCAGCGGGGGCGGGGCGCCCGGCGCGGCTGGAGCCGGTCACCCGGCGCAGCCCCTTCCCCCGGAGCCCGCCTTTCATCTCCCCGCGCCTGGCGCCTGCCCGCAGCCCTGGCCCGTCTACAGCCCCTTCCCTGCCCCTCCCCCTCCTCCTAGCCTCGGGGATCCAGCGACCAGTCCTCGGGGTTACTTGCACTGCCGTCTATGCGCCGCGCTCCACGGTTTGCAAGGAGGGTCTTCCCACTGGGACTCGGAGCGCGCGTGCGCGGCTGCTCCGCCAACAAGCCTGGTCGGTGCGAAACGCCCGGCGGAGCGAGGAAAGGTGGGGGTCGGAAAATCTGCGCGCAGAGGCCCCGGGGGATTAGCGGGTCTCCCACCTCCTACCTGGGTGACCCCGGGCGGCGCTCTTAGCACTTCCTCGTCCAAGGCTTTTCATCTGTAAAATGTGTGTGGGGAGGGGGGTCGGTGGGGACGACCCCGGCCCTTCGGGGTGTGTTGGAAGCAAGAAATGAGATCCTAGGCGGATCTAGGTACTTAAGCATCCGGCAGAGTTGACGCTGGGGGGGGGGGGKGGTGGCTGAGTTCTGATGGAACCCCCGCTTTTCTGCTTTCAAATACCGCAGCTATGGAAACCTCCCCGGAAACCAGCATGTACTGAGTCCCTCCTAAGTGTCAAGGCCAGCCTCCCCTGAGAGGCTCAATCCTCAGCCCCGGAGGTTTTACAAAGAACCCACCTTAAGGTTGTGAAGGCGGTCGGTACATCTTATTTGGGGACATCTGGAGAGAAAGCGTTCGATAAATCATTAATGCTTTTTATATACAGTAATGCAATAAGGCTCTTTTAAAATCGATTCCCTACACCTCCTAGTTACTTTATATAGTCTATTGAATTTAATTACCACAGGAGCCATCCCAGGTAGGTATGATTATCTCTCATCTAAGAGAATTTAAAAAAAAAAAAAAAAGTTGGCTGAGGGAGGCAGGCAAAGTAGCGTGCCCAAGGTCACGCGCCCTGGAAGAGGTAAATAAGATGTTGAGGGGCAGCCAGCCTGGGAGCACAGGCACAGGTGGGGCTTTCCATAAAGGGCTAGATTTGGGTCGAGATTCCAGCCTTCTCCCGGAAGAAGCAAGACCCTTTCCCAAATTGTCTCGCCCCAGCTGAGAGTTAGGGGGCCACCTGGAGCATCGGGGAGCCTACAGCTGCCTCTCTGGCCATCTCTCCTATTTGTGACCACAATTTAGCACTCTGGTTTTCAACAGCAGTTACTCTTTTTATCTCTACTCTTCTCCTATTTCTGACTTTAGAATTTTTGTTTTCCACCTGGATACCAGGACCCCAGAGGAGTGAGGGGGGAAACCTGACTTTTCCTTTCCCAGATGAGTTTATTAAAATAAAGGTGCTCCAATGTAATTCTCTCTTTTCTCCCTAACTTCCCAGGAATAAGCCTGTCTGCACTTAAGCTGACAAATACTAATGATGTGTTTTCAAGAACAATGATAAAACATTGGCTGGGTTCAGCCCAACTGAAAGTTGAACACTTTTGTACACTTTGGTAGCTGAGGGCTAAACGAATTTCAGATTTGCTTCCAAAATATATAGCCCGCACCTTGCCACATGCATCTAGAAGGCACAGAACTTAATCTGGATTTACCTGTATTGTATTTGAGATGCATATCAAGCCAACCATCATCAGGTATGACTCAAGGGGAAAATGCATACATCTCAAGATAGCTTTCATAGTGTTTTTTTTTTTTAACTTTCTGTGAGCTTTCAGTTTGTAAACATAAAAAAAAAATGCCTGTTTTTTTTTTTTTTTGTGATGGGAGATTGATCCAGAGATTTTCATAACACAGTGTTTAGAACTTGTTTACTTTCTAACTTTTTCAGGACCAAACAGAATTAACTGGTCAGTGAAAACTGTTTATCCTAAAGATTCAGATAATGCTTTTTTCGGGTTAACCCAGATCAGCGAAGTTTGGCTCCAGGGGAAGGTCGGCGATGAGGGAAACGAAGGAAACATTGCATCTGCGAGGTACTGAGGAAAGAGTTTAAGGATCTTTAGCTCTGGAGGTCAAGTTTCTAAGACTCTTGAGCTGGGAGATAGCCTCCAAGCCTTGATCATTTAAATAATTTTAAAACACTTCGCTTCCTTCCGACGCTCTAGGAACTGTTTAGGAAGAATCTGCCGAGTGAGAGGTCCTGAGCCGGCCACCTCCTATTTACCTCAGGAAAATCGTTCAGCATAGGAAAGAGTAACTGCACCCTGCGAAGACTGTTTAGAATCGATATTTTCCGCCCGGCGGCCTTCAGAACAGCGGGGAGATGCGAGGCCTCTTCCTCTGTCAAAACTCACACTCCTCTTCCCGGCTCTGAGACCGCCACCACTGAGGCTCTGGGAGGCAGTCACTGAGGGTGTACTTTGGGATGGGGTAGGGACACTTATGCTTTAAAAAAAAAAAAAATTATGTCAGATGCAATGAATAGAAATGTGCATTCCCAAAATGCACCCAGGCCTGGGGTGTGCAAAGTGGAACCTGGTATCTCTGAGATTTGCGGGGGGGGGGGGGGGGGGACGGGGGACGACGACACTAAATATTATCGGTGGCTTTTCCTCCCTCCTCTCCTCCCTCCAAGGCAAACACCAGCACCTAAATACACACACTACGAACACAGATTCAAATAAACTCACGAACACACATTTGCACTCAGTCTTGAGAAAAAAGATCGGACTCGGATCTCTCCCAGAGAGGAAATTTCAGGGGCCAAGAAAACACGAACTTACCCTTTCTAAAAGTACCCTGATTTTTGTGTAAGTGGAAAAGATAAATACTACTGGTTTAAATTCTCCATTATGAATGATTTAGGAGAGAGCGATTTCTGACCCTCCTTCGGGGTCCCTCCGACCTTTTTTTCTGGAGGAACGAGTTATAATAATAGTTATAATAATAGCTAATGACGAGATCCTTCTAAGCGCTACGGTTGTATTATTTTCTTTAGCAGGGATACGGCCTCATGCGTTTCTGGATTGACTGCCAGAGTTGTAAAGTTGGACCAGTTTTGACGCATAGTGGGAACTTCATAAATGTCAGTTGCGGATTTTAGGAGTGTTCAGCTGTGTGGGGGTCGGGGTCGGGGGAGTGGGATGTGCACTGAAGAGGGGTCAAAAGAGAAGAGATAGGGACTGGGCGAACTTCCTCTTTAAATAATCGACCTTAATTACGTCTTGGACTTTTCAGATTTGGCGTGATTATAACCCTTAAGGGATAGCCTAATAACAACTCTGCTGACTGCTCCTGTAATTAACTCCTAATTTATTTCAAACAGGGAGAAAAAAAAAAAGGACCCAGCCTCTTCGGGAAGAGCCAATCGGAGGCGAGCGCCCGTGGCGTCAGCGGCAGGGCGGGCGCGGATTGGCTGAGCCGCGTCTCCCACTTCCCCTTGGAGCCCAGCTCGGCTCCCAGCGCCCCTCCCGTCTCCCCCGCAAAAAGTTTGAGTCGCTGCCGCGGGGCTGCCAGCGGAGTTGCGCGCGGGGATCTACACAGGGCTGGGAAGTCATGGCTTCTCCGTCCAAAGGCAACGACTTGTTCTCGTCCGATGAGGAGGGCCCGGCTATGGTGGCCGGGCCGGGCCCGGGGCCTGGGGGCGCCGAGGGGGTCGCCGAGGAGCGTCGCGTCAAGGTCTCCAGCCTGCCCTTCAGCGTGGAGGCGCTCATGTCGGACAAGAAGCCGCCCAAGGAGGCGTCCCCGCTGCCGGCCGAAAGCGCCTCGGCGGGGGCCACCCTGCGGCCGCTGCTGCTGCCGGGTCATGGCTCCCGGGAAGCGCACAGTCCCGGGCCTTTGGTCAAGCCTTTCGAGACCGCCTCAGTCAAGTCGGAAAATTCGGAAGACGGAGCGTCGTGGATGCAGGAACCCGGCAGATACTCGCCGCCACCAAGTGAGTGAGCGCCGGGGTTGGAACTGGGGGAAGGCGGGTGCGTGGGATGAAGGCGGGTGCGTGGGATGCTGGACAGAAATTTCAGGCCAAGGGCGAGGAGACCCCTCTGTATGCATTTTGGGTCCAGAAAGCAAGCCCAGAAATCCCCCCACCCCCGGTCCTTGCACAGGGGAGTTCAGCATGCCAACCGCATCCTAGACACTTCGTAATCTCTAACTGTGCGTGTCTGGGCTCTCCTCCCTGTACATTGATCCACATGAAAGCCGACTGGCTCATCTTTGGAGAGAGAACCCCAACTGGGTTTGCGAGGTCACCTTGTCGTCGGGTTTTGCAGCCCCCGCGCCCCGGCCAGCCCACTTAGCATATTTTTGTCCCACTATCCCCAGTCTCTCTGCCTGGGGAATGAGGGGGTTCCACGTTGAATCAACACTTTGGAATGTGTCAGACAGAGTTGTCTTATCTCCTTTCAAAACGTACAGCCCTGTGAGTTGCGCCCCCAATTTAAAATGAGTTAACTGGAGTCTAAGCAGATATTGAGTGATATTGTGAGACTTGCGGGTATCCAAGCCACATCCCACGAAAGGATGATGGAGACACTGATGGGGAAAGGAAAGGTGTCCCTGTGATCACCGAAGTCAGAGACTCCTTGTCGAAGTTCTGCACTTCGATGGGAGCGGGTTGGGGCCAAGAAACTGGAGGGCTTCCCTGGGCTCACAGTAGTAATTAACAGCATTCCAGCAGAGCTTGTGAGTAGATCAAAGGTGCTGCTTACCTCACCCTATCCGGATCCTACCTAGAACCCCAAAGTGTAGATAGAAGCTAGCAGCCTGTAGCTACCCCCTTTTCCAAATGTGCACATGGAAGGTTTAAGAGATCCTTCTCTTCCCAGATCACCAACAACCTCCGTATTGAGCATGGGGATCTGGTATCCAAACCCTGCTCCTCTATTTGGTACCTAGGTTACCTTTAATCCCTCTCCCCAAAGACCAGGTCTAGGTCTGCTCCTACCTACACTTCCAGGGAGGCTGGAATGCTTTCTCTTCCAGACTTGGTGTGTTTGGGGGCTGTGGAGTCTCTGCAATTTAAAGTCATTCTCTTCAGATTCTTTTAGTTCTCTCACTTGGCTTTAGGATTTCTCTATTTCCTCTCACCACACCTCTACCCTACCTTCTGGAAAGGCGATAAAGAGTGGGGTCTATGGAGGGACCTTCTCCATTTCCATGGTTCAGCCATCCCGACAGTAGAGGCACAGTATTTTCTGAACAAGACTAGGCTGTAATATTGCCGGTGTCAGTGACTGTCCCCTCTGGCAGTCTCTCTCCACTCTGTTGAAATTCTGAAAGACTCAAAGGGCATGGAGATTAAGGACCCAAAGAATTTAAACTGCAGTTGCACAGCAATTTTTGCTGTAGTATCTTATCTGATCTCCTTTGTAAGGCTGCGGTGGGCCTCTTGTTAACAGATGAGAACATTTCAACAAAGTTCAAAAGATCAGCAATTGGGGCCTGACTGAAAAAGCCTGGGGACACTTAGTGATCACCTACTGAGTGGCAGGTGGGGCTTGGGCACTCTACCTTTTGACACTCCAAAAGACCCCAGGATGATATTATTTGCCTATTTTATTGACAGTGAAACCGAGGCTCAAAAACACTCAGAGACTTAATGTGCTTAACAAATTTTGAGTAACTGTATTCCTAGGCCTGGGGCAAGGCCTGCAGCATCCTAGAGATTCTGGCCTTAATTGGAATGCTACTCAGATGTCAGAAATCTCAGCATCCTTGCCCCTTGAAGGCTTGGGAGGGCAGTTCCCCACTTGCCCCAAGGCGCTGTTTCCTGGCCCCGACAAGGCGACCTGTCTGTAGTCCAGAGAATGACCTTTCCACAGGAAGAGCTGGAGGGTCTCAGAAAGATTTCAAATTTAAACCCGTGCCTGGTTGGACCAGGGTGGGCCAGGGAGCGCCTGGAGCAGAAGGGAGCCGCCCGCCTGGGCCTGGTTTTGTTATTTGGGGGAAGTAGGATAAATGCTGTTTTGCCTGGTATAATCGTATCTTTCCTCTGGCTGGTTTAAAATGGGGCAGGAGAAGGGGGGAGTGGTGCTTGGAGAGGGAGCCTCAGAACCTTATGGTTTTGATACACATGTGCCATCCCCATTACCGGATTTCACAATTAAATGCAGCCCACACAGCAGTTGGAGTGACCCCTCCCAGGCATTCAGATGGCTCAAAACCCCTGTGTTCAGCCCAGAGCAACTGGGTGCACCGAACCACTCAGACACTGGGTCCTCCTGAGAGCCCAGCTAAGTTTGAGTAGGGAATTTTGTCTGTCTCCTGAGAGTCTTGACAGAAGTGTATTTAATTTGTAAATTCAGAAGGCTCCGCACCTCATTCTCTGGCTTATTCAGGGATTAGCATATGCAAACGTCTGTAGACTTTTATGAATATTTCATCCTTCTCCTGAATGTCTGTTCTTTGGTTACAGAACTTTCTACTCCCCCCCCCCCCCCCCCACCACCACCACCACCATCACCAGTAAACTGATGGTTAATCCTGGGACTCTAGGACAGATCCATCTCTTGTTGAAAATGGAGGCCGGGTTGGGACTTGTGCTGTGTCACTCTCAAGTATGAAGTGTCAACTCTTTCATGGGCCACCAAAGTAACTAAACTAGAAATGCGACATTCTCCCTGGAGTACACTGGAGTTGCTACTGTGGCTACATTTAGAAAATTAGCATAGCTCATAAAAGCCAAGTGCAGAAAATTAATTGTTTAGCATTCTGTTCCTTAAGCTGTGTTCTCCTCCCCCTGCCCTTGAGGAAAATAAGCCTCAAGTTAGTAGGTGTCTTGGCATCCTAGGAAGTGCCAGCCTGAGACTTCCTATAATTGAATCCAGTTTAAGAGTCGAGTCTGGATGCTGTTGCCATACCTTTATTTTGCTTGTTATTCTCCACTTTTAAACTCTGGTGACAAACTAATCATTTACACATTTCCCTTAAACCATGGAACGGGTAGGGATGACTAAGATGTCATCATGTGCTCTCAATTCGGAGGCAGTGTGATTTCCCCAGACATGTACATTTATGGGTGAGCTAATTTTCTCCTCTGTCTTAGTAAAGTTTATATTACTGAAGCACCCAGCCAAGAAACTTATCCCACTTCCAGATCTGTAAAATGATGTTCATGTTCGGGTTTTATAATCTGAAGACTGGATGGAATGACAGCCTGTGGTTGCTTATGGCATGAGGCTGCCCCCACATCCACAGATCCTATTAATTGACCACAGACCTTATCTGCGTGATTATTCTCCTCCGGAATATGCTGATGCAGTCCAATGTTCCTGGGTCAGAGGGGACCAGGRAAGGGCTAACCCAGTGTCTAGGGCCCCTTTCCAGTATTTACTATTCATGGGAGTTTAGGATAAACATAAACTCAGCCCCCCCCCATCCATTTTAAAGACAGAGAAATTAAACTCAGAAAGTTTTATTTCTCAGAAGTCAGCTCCCTTGACTTAGGAGGGCTCTGTTCCTGTGAGTTCTATTTCCATTAGCCTCAGTGCTATTTGTTTTCCAAACAGGAAGTTCCACAACATCATTCAATTCTCCAACTGATTTTTTAAAATAATGTTAAAGGGGCTGGAGATATAGCTCAGTTGGTAGAGTGCTTGCCTCCCATTCACAAGGCCCTGGGTTCAATCCCCAGCACCAAAATAATAATAATAATAATAATAATAATAATAATAATAATAAGGCAACTTATCAACTTGAAATTCTGTCCTTCCGTATCTGTCCCTCCCCTCCCCCCCGAAAAAAAAACGCACATGGTTTTGACAGAAGTACCTTTTTTTGAAAGCTCAAACAGTGGGTGTGTGGGAGAGACAGGGCGAGCACAGGGTTTCTGTTAGGCCTGCTGGCAGACTTGGAAAGAAGACGCTTTTGCTAATCCAGTACCCTCTCTATCCTCTAGGACACATGAGCCCCACCACCTGCACCCTGAGGAAACACAAGACCAATCGGAAGCCTCGCACGCCCTTCACCACGTCCCAGCTCCTGGCGCTGGAGCGCAAGTTCCGCCAGAAACAGTACCTCTCCATCGCGGAGCGCGCGGAGTTCTCTAGCTCTCTGAACCTCACAGAGACCCAGGTCAAAATCTGGTTCCAGAACCGAAGGGCCAAGGCCAAAAGACTGCAGGAGGCAGAACTGGAAAAGCTGAAGATGGCAGCTAAACCTATGCTGCCCTCCGGCTTCAGTCTCCCTTTCCCCATCAACTCGCCCCTGCAAGCAGTGTCCCTATCCGGAGCCTCCTACCTTTTCCAAAGACCTTCTCTTCCCCTCCTGCCCATCCGACTCTATGCCACGCCACGCCAGTGGGACACCGCGTAGAATCCAGGATGGATATTCGTTTAAAAGGATTCACCTCTCTCAAAGAAGGCGACCAACCCAGTCCTCCTACAACGAAATTTCAGGCACCGTCCAAAGTGTCTAGGCCCAAGGGCCCCAAGTCCTAGTTCCAATTTCTTCTTTAGATGGGAGGCACCACGTCCTGTTTACTCGGCGTCATATCCTAAATGTCCCCTTCTCCTTTCACGAAAATTGGCTCTGGCAGTTTCTATGTATAAATATATATATATAATAAAATATAAGACATTTTTATACAGCAAACGTAAAAATTCAAATTATTTTGAAAGGCAAAATTTATATACATATGCATTTTTCTATATATCACCTTAAAGAGACTATAAGTCTATTTGTTGTTTTCTTAAAGGGGGGAGACAGGTTATTTGCAAATTGGCCCAAATTTGGTAGTCTTGATAGGCYGAGTTGACTTCTGCTTATGGAAATCAAATACTAGAATTAGACAGGATGCATATAGGAAGTAGGTAATGGGAAGCTTCTGGCGAATTCAGGAGATGATATAACAGGTTTGCATTTTATGTGCATAAGAAGAAGCTTGTGAGGTGCTACCAGATTGGACTCTTGTTTCCCTCCTGCATATTGTGGGCTTTATCATTCTTTTTCCTAAGCTTGAAAAGAGGGGGATGAGAGTAATCCTGAGACCACCCCAGGGCAAGGTAGAAAATAGAAATACTGCCTAACATCTCTCAGTGCTGTGCTCTTTAACTCCATTCCCGGTCATCAGAGAGCAAAAAAATAAAGTGTATCAGAAGAAATTGATTTCTATGGAATACTAGGTACATCAACTCACACTTTGCAAAGATGATTTTTTTTKGGGGGGGAGCATAAAAGTATAGTAATTTTCTGCTTAAAAAAGCAAGTATCCTGTAACCATTACCTATGCTAAATATTCTTGAACAGTTAGTAGAACCAGGAAGGGAAAAGAAAATCATGCTTTCTCTGTGTGTGTACCTATTGTATGTGCTAAACTTATTAGGAAAAATTTCCATACTTTTTAACATGTTGGGAGCAGAGGGTAAAGCCACCCTTTAGCTTGCTAAAAATGGTGTTGTCAAACAGCCCGATTAGCACCCTGGTGTGTCACCTTTGCGTCCATCTCCCTCCCCCAGTACACGTTTATCCCTTTGAAAGGGTACATTGTACAATTTTATATATTTTATTGAAGAGTTATTATCTCGTATTCTGAATTAAATTAAATGTTTGTTTTATTGCAGTAAAGTTTGTCCTAATTCACAATTATTTAAAAAGGAGCTATTTATTCTTAGCTGGGCTTAGCTCAAAAATGCTACCCATGAGGGARGGGGGCTGGTACTTTTAATTATTGTTTAATTTGAATCAATCCAGTGTTGTAGCAGCATGAGGGTAGGAGTCAGTTGAAAACATTGAGATGCTTTGAAATGTTTCCTCTGCAGCTTGTGTTATTCATGGAAAAGGAGGAATTGCTGTTTAGTATGTTTTCAAACTACAGTGAAAATGATCTTAAAAAGAAAGGGTGCAGCAGAGGTCAGAATCTGAGTAGTTTACTGGTGATCCAGGGAAAATCTTGAACTTGAAATCTTGGAGCTACCAAAACAATTGACCACAAAAAAGTTGAAAGAAAGGGACCTATAGCTTTTCTCTGGAAAGGAACTAGGTGCATCTTTGGGTTGGAGGGAGGCACCTTGCTACCTTCAGGAGGGTGTCAGGTCGCATTCCATTTGTCCTTTCTATCTCCACCCAAGGAGAGGGACCCCAAACAAATGCTATTTTTCTTTGAAGGGTGAAGGTGGTTCCTTCCTGTTTCAGGGTCCGGATCCCTGTGGAAACCGATGCAGCACAGCAGCGCCAGTCTTGGGTTTTGAGGGATCCCCATTAAAATTAAATGGTGATAGGTGGGGGGAGACTGGGAAGGATCTTAAACTCAGTTTTCTGTTGSACAAATAAATCAAAAGTGGCTACTGAAGATACCTCTCCGAGGGCTTCAGAGACCTTGGGGGCAGAGACAGAAGCCCAGGGAGAACTTTGTGTTGCCAGTGGGGAGACGCACCCAGCATCGACTAGGATCCGCACTCTCCTCCCAGTTTCGGTGGTGCTGGACCCCCTTTCGAAGTGGGCGCTGGAAGCGCAGGGACTTTAAGGAGTCGGGCCACTAGTCTCAGGGGTTTCTCAGCAGCAGCGCGGAACCTGAGCCCAACAGAGGGGTCTGCTGGAAATTTAAGGCCGATTTCCTCAGGTTGGCTCGCTCCACTTGGAGCTGAGCTGCGGAAGCGCCCCAAACCCACCCAAACTTGTTCCTCTGCCTCCCTCTGGGCCTTTAGGGGCCCACGTCCGAGTCCCAGATCAGAATATAACCATTTTCATTTAAGGGATGCATTTTCCCAAAGCTAAAATCCTTCCGGGTTTCGTCATCAGCCGCCGAGTTGGGTCCCTAATTAGCCTGTCCTCGGAACTTCCTTCCCGGCGCCGGTGGGACCTGCAGCCCGGGGSGATGTTCCTCAGGAGGGGGATCCGGAGAGGCCAGCTCCCATGAAGGCTCAGCTTGCCCCATGGAGAGGTCCGTGATCCCCTGTCCTATTCGGAGAATCGGGGCTGCTTTTTGCATGACCAGCGGGGTAGGCGAATCAATCTGGTACCTGGGCACCCCGCACCGGGCCCATCGCCTCAGATTAAAGGAAAACTGAGGCTCGGAGATGGGTTGTGGAAACAGGTTTCACAAGAAGCACTTCAGCGCTCCTAGGTCGATGGGTTACAGCGTCCAGGACCAGGCCCATGGTCCGCCCAGCAGGACCACGCGCCTTGCTCTGCGGCCCCTTTCTACCCTTCTGTCCCGCGTGGAGTTCCGCGTCACCAAGATCCTGGCCTCAGGCTTGGTGCTGGTGGTTTAGAGGCCAGATTGACAACAAGCGCCTCGCGAAAGACCCACACTCAGCCAAGCCCCTTGCAGACCAGCATTGGAAGTGAACGCTGAAGAGGCCAGTGTGAGATCTTTGGACATTCTCAAGTGACTGCCAGGAGCCTGGCACGAAAATGCACCTGCCCTTCCAAAACTTTCCAAAGAAAACACTCTTCTTTTTTTAAAGCGGGAGAGAAAGTAGGGGACATCGCCTTTCAGAGACCCTGCTAAGTGAGGAACTAGGCATTTTGGTACAGATACTCTCATGTAATCGGTGCACCCCTTTTGGAGAGGCGGTTTACAGTTGTTATTTTAAAGTCGAGGAAACTGAGGCTCTGGGAGGTGGCTCACTGAGGTCACAAGGCTGGCTGGCGGCAAGGGAATCCAGGCAGAAGRGTGAGCGGAGGAATGTGGGTACCAGAGTTGGCAAGGCAGGCCTCTCAAAAATGACGCAGGGATCTGGAGAGCCAAGGTTTGGAGTCTCYTCTGGTCCCCATCCCTCACTGCTGTGAGGGGCTTCTGCCAGGGTCCCAGCTTGTCCACCACGTGGGACCTGGGGCTAAGCCCTCCCCCACCCCTCCCGGYAGGCCGCGCCTCGGTGGTGCGGGGGCAGGGCCGCAGGAGGTAGGCTAGGGCCTGGCTGAGAACCGCGCTGGCGGAGCGTCTGCCTGACCCGACTGAAAAGAGGATCCCTGCCTTTGAGCAGAACCTTGTCTGACCGAAAGAAAACTCCCACGGCCATTCTTCGCGATAAAAGCCTCTCATTTGCCACGGGTTGGAGAGGCCGTTCCCCCACCCCCATTCCCTTTCCACTGCTGGGTTTGAAATAAGCATAAACCTCATTTATAAAAGAACCCACGTCACAAACACACCCCCCTCCCCAAAATCACATGGCCTGGTTGGTGAAGTCAATTGTGCCGTTTGCCCCCTTCCATGTAAGGAAAAAATAAATAAATAAATGCTGGGATTGGTGATGCCCCAGGCCTCTTAATGAAATAAAGTAGTCACATCGAGGAGGGAGAGAGCCTCCTGTCAACTCCTCTGTCCCCTCTTCCACCCCTGCCACCGTCTCACCTCCTCCCTCCTAGGAACTAAATAAAAAGCAGTAAAATTACTTTCAAAATAACCCGMTTCAAAGCAGAGCAGAGGACTAGGGCTAAGGGAATCCTGAATCTTGCCCTGATAAGGTTCCTAATAATCAAATCCAAACTTCATCCACCTCCTCTGACTCTTTCCAACCTCCTCCGGACCTCTCTGCATTTGTGGATGAAAACACTTTGATGTCCCAGTCCTCCAAACAATTATTATTATAATTTTAAACAACCTGGTATTTTCCATTACTAACGGCTCGGGCTTTGAAGTTACACCTCATAATTTCCTAAATTAAATAAATCATTTTAAGTTTGCACTGGGAGGCTTTTAATAGCAGAGAAAGGAATATCATTATCTTATTGAGACCCAATTGTGGTGGCTCCAGTTTGGCTGTAGCTAGGGGCAAAGTAGGCTCAGTCTAACAGACATACTTTATTAACCTCCCATAACTCTTGAAAGAACATTTTTATATTTTCTTTGATTTCCCCCCTCCCTCTCTTGTTTTAAAGCTGTCCCAACCTTTAATTAGTGCCTAATATGAAAAGCATTATTTTTTTAATGCTATGTAATTTACCAGCGGCAACAGGCCAACTTAACAATTGTTTATTAGACTTGGTTTTTCACACAGGGCAAAGAATGCCGCTCCAAACCCAACTTTTCATGGGTGGTTGCACTAATTAATACAGTGTCTGAGGCTCCTAGGGGGTTTTTTAATATTGAAGCCTATGGGGGCGGAAGGGGGTTTTAGAAGTCCAGCTCCTGCCGACCACGTTCTCTCTGATTTCTTTCATGCTGTTTTGATCCTGTCTGTGGAGTCAGCACAGACAGAAACTGTGTTCCCTGGCTCCAGAGACTCCAAGATCCCGAGGCAACCGCCCGGGAACCCCCAGCACCTCCACTTGTGATTTATGACTTGTGGGGCCCAGACTTGGGGTGCAGGGAGTCGCCCCTCACCCAGCCTGAAGGGGTAGGGAGCTGGTGTGGTTTGGGTTGGCCCCAGCCA